ATGTATATGAAATGGGCAGTTGCTGAATATAACCCACAGATAACAGTGCTCCATGAAGCATGTCAAGTTTTCACCTATTGCTATCATCCTTTCATTGACCAATGCCATAACTTGTTGCTGACCTATGACTGGCAGAGGTGTCACAGAGCCTGGGCCAGCTGCTTCAGGAGCGGCACTACCTCCAAGAAGAGGTGTCAGGCCGGCACGTCACCATCGCCCAGCTGCTGCGCGTGCAGGAGGCACGCGCCTCCGAGCTGGGCCTGCAGCCAGCTGTCCAGATGTCAGCTGTGATGCGTCGGTAACAGCCTGAAGGCTCCACCCTGGCCAGTACCTAGTCAACAGTGACGTCCTGCTCGACGCCATGGGATATGCAAAATACTGTGCTGTGCTGATCGCACTGCCCTCCGTCAAATCAGCGCATCAGGATTGCCCACTTGCTGTGTGTGCTGAAGTCAGAAAGTGGTCTCAGACTTCCATTTGCTGTCAGTATTTGGAACATGCGAATGGCGGGCGTTTGCCGCGGATGTGAAATCGCATGGTTGTTGCACGGTTGCTGTGAATTGGTTGTCACAGTTTGTTTTCTGTATGGCAGCATAGTTCATTCTCGAGGTAGATTGCAGAAGGGTGGGGTTGTATTTTGAACCAAAAGGGAAATCAACGAAGCCATATCGCTGCTCAGTAATCAACTGATCCTCACTGTCTTGCCAGTGTCATGCATGGTTTTTGCCAGGCATATCTAATCCCCTGGAGTATCCGCGGCTTGTAGTCGAGCATCGCCAGCAAAATGGAATTCCCTGCGCGGTTATCTGCGGACGGCGGTCATCACTGGTCCGAATCACGAGAACGGCTTCTGCGCAGATGCTGCGCGTGATAGGCTCAGTGCGTTGATCTTCATGTGGATGGCTGGCGCCGCACCAGGCTTTGGGTGTGGGGTGATGCCCGGCAGACCACGCTCTGCGTCGATTCCCTCTTGTGCTTACACCACAAGCGAGCTAGCGTTGCGGCCGTGGAGGGGTTTCCGACGCCGTGCGACCGCAATCCGGCGGGTGGGCCAGTTCCCACACCATGACCAAGCATGGCATACTTGTGTTACGCGTAGAGTTATCTGGTTGCCATTTACGGCGGGGTGCCACGTTTTCATGGTGTCGGGTGGCGGTTTCCGCGAGAATGGCACCCACTGCCTTCTTGGGGCCTATGATTCCGATGCTGCGGGTGGGAGTCCAGCGGCTTCCGCAGCTGCTGTAGCATCAGTGGCGGTTGCCTCTTGCGGTGTTTGCTTGCTCTGTGTTTAACCCGATTACCGCCGGGAGATTCAAATGCGATGCGCGGTTGTACAGGTCGAGAGCACGGCTGGTGCGCTGGGCACATGTACAATCTTTACAAATTTAGTGTGCTGTGACGGTTTTATTCATTTACATTTTGTTATGCTAAAGGAAAATTACGTGAATCAACGTCGATCATGCGTGTAATACATTTCAGGAATATAAAAACGCCTTAGCTGTAACTTGGACACATGGGCAGCACAAACGCACCGAACGTCCATTCACGCCACAGGCATTCGCCGAATGGACGCGACTCCACACGTCAATCCACCCTAAAAAATCAACAAAACACGAGCGGTGCACCAGCCCGTCCATGATATGTACAGTGTGCGATGATGAAGTCAATCACAGTCAGTTGGTCGGTCGGCACTCGCGGCCGGCGTTATCCGATAAACACCTGTGCCACGAGCGGGTCATCGCTGGGCGGCGCGGGCACGGGCGGCGGCGCGCGGCTGACCGGCACGCGGCCGCCGCCGGCGCGCAGCTCCTCGCGGATCTCGCTCATCACGCGCAGCCGCTCGGTGTGCTGGGCACGCAGCGCCGCCACCATGGCCTCGTCCCAGCGGCGCTGCTCCTGCAGCCAGCCGTCCAGCCAGGCGATGAGGTCGCGCTGGCGCGCCTGGCGCGGCTGGCGGCGGCGGCGCGGCTGGCCGGCTCGGTGCCGGTGCGGCCAGGCTCGGCGCCACCGCGCCCGGCCGCGCCCGCCGCCAGCTCTGGGATCAGTCGCACCAGCTCGTCCACCTGGTAGTAGCAGTCGGACTCGACTTCCTCGCCGGACAGCTCCCAGCGCATTTGGGCCCGCCTGCGGGCGCACGGCGACCGTCAGTCGACGCAGGCGCTCGGGCGTCGTGGGCGGAGGGGTTATCGCCAATCAGATCGCGAGTGCTGGAGTCGCGGCCAATCAGGGGCGTGCGGTGGACAAGCGACCAATCAGTGGGCGCGGGATGAAGCGGTGGCCATTCAGGGCAAGAACCGTGTGGCGGTGACCGGTCAGGAGGCCAGTGGTGACAAACTGGGGAGATGTGTGGGTAGAAGAAGAAGCGGGCGCAAGAGCCACGACTGCTCACGTTACGCAGGCCCAGTGCCCGCACCAATACGGCGCAAAACAACCGAACACGTCGGTTACGAACCCAGAGTCCGCATCTACGTCACCATTCGAGCCATCTCGGGGACGGCAAGGCCTCTCAGTCCATCGCTCACTTGTAGGCCTGCAGCAGCGTCTTCATGCGACCTTCGCACTGCTCGGGCGTGTAGTCCATGCTGATGTTGCGCATGGCCTCGGAGATCTCGCCCCAGAGGAAGCGGCGCTTGATGCTCGGGTCCGAGTACTCCTTGTGGCGCGCCTTTAGCAGCGCCAGCATGGTCAACGACGCCTCGCGGTTCCACACCGTCTTGTTCAGGTTGGCCGTCCCTGCCGAAGGGTGGGGTCGTGACGTCGTCAGGCAAGATCGGTGGCGCTGAGCTCGTGGTTGTGTTGTTTGTCTTGACCATACGAAATGCTGATGTAAGGAACAGGACCCTGGAAATGCAACATCGAATTTTGTTCCGCACACGTGCAACACATTCTAAGTCTCGCGGCATCACGATTTACAAACATACCCAACTTTCATTTGCATAGTTCGATGGCGCATGCCAGTTGAGTACGGTATACCAGTGTCAATGCCTGTATGGGTGTCCGTCCTATCATCAGGTCAGCGACGGGAGGTACTGTAATAGAATGCAGTCCAACTATCATGCGTTGGAACTATAGATAAGGGATTTGGCCATGCCCAGTCTCCAACGGTTCCCCACTGACCTGCCCGTCCCCAACGGTCCCCAATGACCTGCCCCGTCTCCAACGGTCCCCACTGATCTGCCACGTCTCCCGCTGACCTGCCCCGTCCCCCACTGACCTGCCCCGCCACCAACGGTCCCCCACTGACCTGCCCCGTCTCCAACAGCCCCCCAATGACCAGCCCCGTCTCCAACGGCTCCCCCACTGACCTGCCCCGCCTCTAGCGGTACCCCCACTGACCTGCCCTGTCTCCAACGGCCCCCCCAACGACCGACCAACGACCTGTCTCAAACGGTCCCCACTGATCTGCCACGTCTCCCGCTGACCCTGCCCCGTCCCCCACTGACCTGCCCCGTGTCCCGCTGATCTGCCCCGTCCCCGCTGACCTGCCCCCGTCCCCCGCTGACCTGCCCCGTCCCCCGCTGACCTGCCCTGTCGCCGCCGGCGCCGGGCTCGCGGTCGCCGCCCAGGCACACGCCGTCTGTCATCAGCTGTGGATAATCGGCCGACAGCGTGCACATCTCCCGGTAGAAGGGAGGCGACGAGCCCGTCGCCTGGCTCTTGCGATGCATCGCCTTCAGCGTTTTCCAGCGGTTTTCACACTGGATCTGCAACGGCGCCGGTGTCGTCCGTTCTCAGATGTTGTCGTACTCAGCTGCTGAGGTCATATGGCGGGGTCGCCTGCCTGGGCGGGCAGGCGACGACATGGAGGGCGGGCACGGCGGGAAATCAAGCCCCCGCACCTATGGTTTTCCAGACGTGCGGTTGCCAGCGCAGACGCGTTAACCACCACGCTATCAGCACCTCTCCGCTCTCAGCTGCTGGCGGACTGGAACCGAGCCAAGTTCAGAGATACTGTGGCCGCGGTCGCGTTCGGAGCACAAGCAAACTCGGGGTCTGTGAAACGTTCGGAGGAGTTAACCCCCACAGAATACGCCGCAATCTGTCCGACGGACGCGGGAAGTATTGCCAGCGGTCCGAATGTAGCATCTATTGTTTGATTGGCGGTCGCACCGGATGCGCAACGCAACAGCTGTCGTCGCCTTCCACGGAAGAGGTCCACCGAGCCGCGACGCCACGAAAACATAAGACGGCGAGAGGCCGGGATAGGATGGGTGCACTGTATACATAGACTCCACGAGGGTCCGCGGGGCGGAGGAGCGTGGCGATCACAGACCCCGAGCAGCCAGAGCAGCTAGCAATTTGGAGACATGCAGCGATTGCAAAGCTCAACTGTCCGCGACGATTGAGACAGCTGCCACACGATTAACCAGCAACGACTCAATGACTACGTATGATTGAACAATGCCAACGTATGCAGTTAAGCACTACTTTCGGTTGTTCAAAAGCTCACCTGACTGATATTGAATCCCCTCTCCGTCATTTGATCGCATACTTGCATCCATATGAACTTCCGCTTGATGTTGGGGTTGGTGAACTTGTCCACACTCTCGGTCAGGATCTCCAGCAACGCCTCGGTGTCATGCTGGGCCCAGCGGTAGTCTGAGCACAGCCATCAGAGCTCACGTTGGTCACAAGTACACAACACAAAGCCAGACATGCGGCGCGCACACAGCCACAGCTCATGTTGATCATACGTCGGCGACTCAGAGAACCACAGGACCACCTCAGGACTGCGTAGCAGGTCGTAATGCACAGGTGAATGGCAAGAGCATTAACGGAAATGAAGCACAATTGGCGTTTTGGATGTGACGACCGATTTTCATCACCACACGACCTCCACATAACAAATCTTACAATAAAAACCCAAACATTTATTCCTGAGGACGAGCGCGGCGCGCAGAGACGTCAAAAAGCAGAGCCCGTTTAGGTAACAGCCCATCTTTCCACACACATTCTCATCACTCCTGTACGAGCCGCAAACACAGCGCGCAGCTCGCGGCGGTAAGCCTGTTGCCCCCAGTGCGGCGCGTGCCTGGCGCTGTGGCGGCCGTCGGCCTTACTCGAGTGCCCCGTGTCCGCGTCCAGTACGGCCTCCTGGGTGACGGCGGCCGGCTGGCTCGAGTCGACCGCCGCGCCCAGGCACTGGTGGTTCACGCACTGGTCCAGTGTGCTGAACGTGTTCTTGCACTGGGCGCACTGGTACATGGTCACCTGGAGCCGGCGGGAGAGGGGGCGGTGACCCTCGGCCGGCGGGGCGGTCGGCGAGCTCCGATCGAAGCTATCGGCGAGCTCCGATCGGGGCCATCGGCGAGCTCCGATCGGAGCCACCGGTGAGCTTTGATGGGAGCCATCGGTGAGCTCCGATCGGACCCATCGGAGCCGCCGGCACCTCGCTGCTGTAAGCTCAACGCGAGGCCTCTTGTGCCGGTGCGACTAACCAAGACATGTTTGTCATGGATGGACTGGTGATACTGACTGGGAGAAAGCGCGTGCCCAACACTGAATCACAGAATAGGTAAGGCGCCGACGGCACGCGCGCAAACAGCACGGCGGCACAAGATGAAGCGCCTGCAGATGATAAGCATCGCGAGAGACGGTCCAGCCCACTTCCTCGCCGGAAGAGCACGACGGGATTCCCCAACACCCTTACGCGCGAAGGTCGCCATCTGTACCGGCTGGGCTGAGTTCGGCATAAAATCAGCCCGGCCCAGCGATCAGAATCCGCGAATCCGCGCATGCATTGGTAACATACGGCAACAGCTTTAAAGTACCGATCCACTTCCAAAGCCGTGCCACCTGCCCCGCCGTACTGACCGCACTTCGAATCGCCACCACGGCACGCGGCGGCACGTACCCTGAAGGGCGTGACGCCGGTGTCGGCGCCGTCGGCGGCCGGCTCGTCGGCGGTGGGCGCGTCACCGCTCGGCAGCAGGCCCATCTCGTCGACCGTCGTCGACTCCAGCTCGCCCTCCTTCAGGCAGTACTGGTGCTCGAGAGCGTCCTTCTTGGGCAGCCAGGCGTCCGAGACGCCGAACGCCGGCGTCGCCTCCATGCCGGCTCGCCTGCGGCCCGCTGCGCGCGCCCCCGTCACTGCACGGCGCCTGGCACGCGCCCAACTCGCACACGCCGGGCATGGTCTCCCACACGTACATACCACGGCAGCGAACGGACGTCAGGCGTTACCGTCCGAAAGTCTCAGGAAAATAGAATCGGTGGTACCTTGGATTCATCAACGTCCCCTGCTAGGCCGTGCAACGTTAGGTTCGCACATCGTGCGCTGTCCCGTCACAGAGACCCACACTGCTCCCTTGGCCCACCACCCGCAGTCAAGAGACACCGCACCTTCTTCTCACAGCACAAACCGGCCGGCCATCGTCCGGCCGCCCCAGCACCCGAGTCCTCGAGCCGCGGCGGTGGTCAGTACTCCTTGAACGAACAGCTGACGGCCGTGTGGCCGAGCGCGGTGGGCCGGCGCCGCTCGTACTGCTGCGCCGTCCGGTCGCCATAGTAACGCCGCTCGATCACCTTGTCGAAGAAGCGACTCAGTTTCACGGCGTTGCCGCTGCCGGCGGCCAGCGAGCGGGCGCTCAGGCAGTCGACCACCATCTCCTGCGCGCCGCACTCTTCGGCGAAACGCGACGCGTGGCGCGAGAGGTGCGCGGCGCGCTGCTGCTGCGCCGCCAGGTCCGGCTTGCAGGCCACCACCAGCACGGGCAGCTGTGGCGAGCCGGCCAGCGTCTCCAGATCGAAGGCGTCCGGCTCGCCGCCGCCGCCGTCGCGCTGCAGCACCTCGGCCAGCCACGCGCCCAGCGTGTTCTGCGTCTTGCGGTTGCTGCGGTCGTGCACGAGGATGACGCCGTGTGCGCCGCCGTAGAAGACGTGGCGCGCGTTCTGGTGTGCCCGCGCTGCCGCCCACGTCCCACAGCTCGACGCAGTAGGTGCGCTGCGCCGGCAGACCCTCGCGGAAGTCGTGGATGCGCACGTCCAACTCGCAGCCGATCGTCCAGGACGGCTTGGGACACGGCTCATTGTGGCAGATCAGGTGCACCAGCGATGTCTTGCCCACGCCCGAGTCACCCACCACCACCACCTTGACCGTCTCGATGTCATTCATGCTTGGCGCCACGCTGGCTCGTCGAGAAGTGGCGCGACTGCTAGTTCATGTACCCGGATAACAGTTTGGTGACGTGGCCCCTGAGCACTGAGCTGCCCCAGCTGATGGAAGATGGGCATAGTGCACATTTTGATGATTGTTGGCTCAAAGCCCTTTGATGACATAATTTGCTGCAGTGATTAGTAATTGGAATGTTGTGTAGCTTCAACAAGCTGTTCACAATGGCTCATATCATAGATATCTTTTGAGAGCTTAGTAACAGGCATTTGTTTGGGAAACTGACTGAACACATCTCATATGTGCCATCATCATATGCACTATTCAGGGTTGGACCTAAAAAGTACCTGAATCAGGCCTTCCCATATATTTAAAGCATCATGTTTCTTGGATAAGCAAGGCACTGAGCCCAAAAGGTACCTTTCCAACCTAATCCTAAAGACTTGGAAATATAAAAATAGCAAAATGTGCGATCTGTCTGAGGATACATCACTAATGACTCGAATCAGGTGACTCTCAATATGGAAGTAACGTTATGCAATACAATGGTTAGCTATTCCAATAAATAATTGCAGCCTTGCCTGCCTCGTGCTAGCAGTGCGGATGTAATTGGCAGGGCGAGAACACATGAATCTCATGAAAGGAGGAAATCTTGCTACATGTAATGCTGGGTACAGCCAGCAGCACATGACCCACACCACACCCCTGTGATAAGTTGAGCCTCCAAATGGAGGTGTATAGGTGGGACAGTGCTATGATAGCAATAATCATGAATAAAACATTTCAACAGCTCAGGGAAACTAGTAATAACTTGTGTGCACAATTATGAGGTCCAAGGTTAGTATTCAGGGCAATGCCCACACCAGAGGCACTGTTATAACTCATTTCATATTGCTTTGCCTTTTTCAACCTCTCTCTACTTAGTTACACACTGGCAATTCTTGGTGTTGCCCCCACCCTCCTTAACTCAACTCAGCATCAGATCCCACAAAGGTGGCATCTGGTCCAAAGCAACAAAGCATCAAGTCCTCCCTAGCAAAAAAGAAAGGGTAGCCCTTTCTGTTCAAAGGATACAAATAGTCCCTGGCACCAAAGCCTCTAAATATCTTAACAAGATTTAAGGCATTTTAGTATGTACAAAGCATGCTAGCATGTAAAAAACATTTTAGTATGCCTGGGAATCACACCTGAGCATGAGCTAACAGAAGCTTTTTATAATGTTCTGCTGTCCAAAAACATGTCACCGCTAACTCAAGTTATGTGCTATCAACCTACATTTGCCTCTATACATATCATAGTTAATAAGATGATCCCAAATAACCTTGCCCTGAATTTGGACATTACATATATTTTTATTCAGTTCCACAAATTCACCAACATGGTCTTAATACTACCCCTTCCTACCAAAATTGGGTCTTAGCCACAAAACTCAGACACTCTTGCAACATGGTGGTCTCTGCAACCATGACAAAATCTCTCCAATTATACATCTGCATTCCTGCACTATTCATTCACAGACATGCTCCCTGCTATTGCTGTTGGGACTTTACAACACAATCAGCTGCTGATGTTGTATGGCATTGCCTGTCTATCACCCTGGTAGGCAGGGCAGGTACAGCTGGGAATCAAATTCCCCCTGTGCATGGCCAAGGCACCTCAACTCAGGAAGCTGGCAAGTCAACTACAATACCTCCTGAAAATTTTGGGTACCTAGGAGCCTAGTTATTATACAAGTATATACCTTGTTACCTACATTAGAAATGCTCATCATTATTCTTCCCCATTTTAAAACCAAGACCTTTTTCAGAGTGCTGTCAGGACCTCGATGATGTTCATTTCAAGCTCTCAAACTTGTTTAAATGCTTCTACACCCATTTACATGTAACCATCAACACATATCACTACCAAGAGCAATGCAGGAACCTCTGATTACTAGGAAATAAGACGTTCAAGCAACACCAGCATGCCAGGACTGCCATAAATCAAACTGTGCCAATAAAAGTAACCTATTTAGCAGTTGTGTTTCGATATCTTAACTTAACGCAGCCGTATGAAAAACACTCTTATTTAAACATTTAGCCGTTGACCAGTTCCATTTTTGTACCACACTTATCAAGTCATGGCCAAATAATAGTAACGTCCGCAGGATATTGCACCGCTATCAAAACGGCGACAATCATTCCTCCCATTCCCCCACACTACCACACGCCACGCACCCAGCCCCGCGGGCACTGTGGATTCACAACCATAAATGAACGGTCTCGCAGCATTACTCTACTCTTCTACTCACCAGTAGATTACGGTACGTTCCTTGCGTGATTACACCAAAAGGAACTCCACGTTCCACCCACCCCCACCGCTACACCACCGACATCTTCGTCTTCTAGTAACTGCTACACTGCGCAGCCAAATGCTGGCATATAACGTGGCTGCTCAGTTAGGGAGAAATCTCCACCATGCCCAAAAACCGACCGCCAGCCATTCGACGTCAGCTATGCACGGGTGTCGATTTGTATTCTTGTAGGTGGGCCACTGCCCCCCCCCCCCCCCCCCAACATATCGTCCGGCCCTCAGTGGCGAGCTTGCCCCTCCCCAACCTACTGAAACCCAAGTACATGTAGGACATTACAAATGCGAGCTCGAATTATATCAAACTTAAAGAAGACTTTTACTAATTGTTTCACAGGTAAAAGGCCTATGAATAGAAAAAAGCGATATCATGCTCATTTTTGTGCACCGGACTGATTAAGTCACGCTTTTTAAAGCTCCGCAAGCGTACCGTGTTTACTTGAGTTTGGTTCTGTTCTTCCTGCATGGTACATGTCTGTAACTACACCATTTATATCTCTTGCTGACTCCGGCCTAGTTTTGTGCTATTGTGGGAGTGTTTTAGCATCATTCAGCGATATTTCAATCAAACAGACTGCAGCAAGCTGCGTTGTTTTGCTACGTCTCATCACAAGACAAAAACAAAGCGGCGAAATATTGGCATAAAAAGGTTGCTTAGTTATTAGCCGTCTATATTCGGAGGAAGTCTTGCAATGTGGCGACCATCACTCCTACGTCAATATTCGATCAAACAGTTGCAAAAACGAGACGACACGGGAATATATTTGTGTTCTGTTGAGTACACCACTGCCCCCCCCCCACCCCCGTTCCAATTTGGCCCCCAACGGTGAGTTTGCCCCCTCCCCAACGTTCTGGATCCTAGGCACAAACAGAGCATTGCAAGTGAAGCATAAGCGTAGAAACGTTTCGAAAAGTGGGAGGCCAAGCCCAGGGCGTACTTCAGGAACTTTTTTTCTAGAAAGTAAGCCTGATGACCGTCGGGGGGAGGGGGTGAGATGGAGGAGGTTGTTATCGACCTTTATTCAGATGTCACGGCTGCTGTGGTAGATGTCCATCTAGGGCTGTTTCTCACTGGGGCGCAATCTTGCCTATCCAACTCATCTATGTCATTCGGCAAATTAGGCTATCCAGCTTCCCAAGATTATTCGTCCATTTCAACATTGTCTTTCCTGGGGAGGCGAAATTGCACAAGCCGGTAGGATGTTGGGTCATTGAGGAGGCATCTGCCTTCACAGAGTAAATGCCGAAATACGGCATGGGCGGAGGCTGATGAGAATTTTCAAAGTGAATTGAAGGTTCACAGTGCGACAGATTTTTCATGAGCCTTCCTTTCGCTGGCTGCTTTTCAACAGATAAGGTTTGTCGCAACATTTTAGGCTGAAGCAAATTCTGATGCTTTAAAACTGCTAAAAAACAATGTGACAAAACACCATAAAACTGGAGATTCTAAAAACAACCAAGTCATAGAATGAAAGACCTTCTGTCATATATTCCTTATCTGGGCCCTACTCCCGTCCGCCGTCGGCGGCCATTGCACTGGCCTGGCTATCTCTCTCATGGCTGACTGAAGACTGATCGCATGGCTGCTTTGTTGCGTATTTATGGATCAGCATTACTATTTATTGGTGTGTAAGACATACGTTGGACACCTGCAACAGTACCTTTTTCCGAATTATCTTCTCTTACACCACATCACCCCGGCAAAAGCCTCCTAGAAGCTGTCTGCCTTAGATATGAATTGGCCCAACAGGCATTTCATCGCCCAGCATTCAATGTAGACGACTTGGTCTGCTTTTGTATGTAGGCAGGGGCATAGCCAGAGCCTTGCTAAGAATGAACACAGGGTTGATAAAAGGCTCTCTAATGGTGAACCTCCCCCCCAAAAAAAATAGTGTATGTAGTTTACTTGTGAACAATGGATATGGTTGTCTTCGTTTCATTGTTATATTTACCTTGTAACCAGAACAGAAACCAGAAGGTGCCATGAAATCAATGTTTGTATTTTGCAGTAAAAAAAAAACACTGCAGAAATCAGGCGTTGGACGACCACGTGGAATAAATCATCGGCACCCTTAATTTACAATGTCCTAGCGGACTTATCATAGACTGAAAGAACTCAGAGGCTTTGTTGGAATGTTTTATCTGGGTTATACAGGCACTGAAGACGTTGCGAAGGTAGGTTACAGATCGACATGTTTGATCGAAATTTGAAGATGAAAATTTAATTTTAGATCAAGTGGTCAGCAATTTGTATTAATTTGGCCAAGCCATGTTTGTCGGGAAATGTTTAACACTCGTTCAGAACCGATAAGTGACATAGTTTATGACGCGGCCTTTTAACGTCGCTCGCAAATCTTAGCAACAAAACCTCGGCGCCAGGCGTTGCAGTCTCTGTTGTCCTCGGAGCGTTAGCCCAGTGGTTAATTTTTTGCCGTGGCCCACCGTCGAACGAAAATGATGACGCTTCTGAAATGACTGCTTTTAAACGTTTCAGTAGATAAGAAGTACAAATTATGTGACGTAACTTCACGCACGTAAAAGCACGCGCACTCACAAATCTTAGTGACAAAAAACTCGACGCCAGGTATTGCAGTCTCCATAGGCCGCGCAGCGTAGGCCCGGCAGCTAATACTGAGTCGCGGCCAACGGGCGGACCAAAATGATGACACTCCTGATAGAAGTACCTTTGAACGCTCTAGGACTTACATTTAGTAGGCAGTCTGGGTGCATGTCTCACGTGTGTGATTTTTAGACTGATGATAAGGAAGAATTGGCCCTTAAATCACCGCGAAGTGGTGCTGGAATCTGGCGGTGGAACTGGAAGAGTAAAGGTATAATCTCTATTTTTCGCATTCCCGTAATTCTAAATCCGTCCAGAAGACAGATTAAAACAGCGCCCACCGTCTGGTGGCAATTGCAGCGGCCGACGCCGTTCGGTTTCACGGGAGCTGCAACCCAGGCCATCGCTGTGCTTGCTCACGAGGTTGCGGGCGAGCACCCTCTTGATAATTAAGCAAAAAACTAATCCATTTGAAAAATGAATGTTCTCAGGCAGACATGAGATGGTCTTGTTTGCTTTTTATAATTATTTTGACACTTTATTCAACACTTATGAGACCCGCACTCTACCCAACAATAATGAGACCTCTTACTTCCTTGTGGGCAACGGCCTCTCAAGCAGAAGGGGCACCAGGGGCACATTACCGTTTCTGGTCAAGGGTTGAAGGGCCGCTCTGTCCCACACGGGGCGGGATCTTCTGGTCAATCCGGAGGTCATTAGAGGATGTATCGTATCGCAGTGCTCCCGCGCCTGACACGGGAGGTCTTCTGACCCGCGCCGTTGGACCCGGATCAGCACAGTAAGCCTCATTGACGCGACAACATCCCTAATCGTCGCAGGTGGTCCAATAATTGTCACATATATGTAAGTTACGTTGTTCCGGTGTCTCGCCTCCGGCTCGCTGGTACACACGGTGCGTTCCAAGCCCCTTCTGTATGTCACATTCGTCACAGGCACCCCACACAGTCCGTCGCGCCGGCGCGATAGTCAGTTAACAATAGTCAACGGAATTTAGAAGACCTACTTATTCTTTTGGCATCAGGTGAGCTATGAACGTCAGACCGAAGTCAAAACGAACTTGCTTTTTACCTGAAAGCTTGCTGTATGAGGTAGCTTCTAATGTTCATTTCAAATGCATTAGCATTAGAAACCGCAATAGACATCTGCAATGGACTTCTTAAAGGGAATATTCCACATATGAATGCGTTGAAGCAAACATCAGACATATAACTATTGGTATACTTCTCAGTGAGAAATACTTTTCTATGCAACGCAATATCTCTGTCTCTAAAATACGCTCCTCGATATGTCATTGTTTGAATATGTCGTCGCATTTTGCACAACGGTGATTGAGAGAGCCAATTGACGACCGTTACATTTGGATATTGTGCTCACGCATGACAGATGTGAACGATTCGATAATTGCATCTTGATTAGTTTTGAGGGCTAATGAAATCACAGAGTTTGAAAGACACAATTATGGCGCTTTGGACGCTTGAATGACTTATAAAAAGTTTCCTCAAAAAGCCGCACATATTCGCGGGCGTGTAGCTCCGAAACTAGAAGCCTATAAGTCTTAAGAGAGGCAGATCTGCGAAGTGCACCGAATGGTCTCCAAGATGACTATTTCGGTTCAAAACTCAAAACAAATGTGGTGTTCTACCTTTCAAAGTCAGAGGAGGTAACTAACTTAAAACGACATAGGCAAATATTTTGTTTTCAGGAATGCGCCGCTAGCTTAATCCTTGCTGTTTATTCAAATGCAAGAATCAAAACAATGATTTTATTATTTTGGCATCCATGGCCTTATAAATGTCAAACAAGGCCGCTGAGCTTAAATGAACATCAATGGTCTTTTGCTTAGAACAAATATCTGTATTCACGGTGGTTGCGTAAGGGGCCTGAGGCTCTTTGGACACCGATCTTGAGTTTAGCCTTGTTTGACCTTATTTGACCCAAAAGTCAAAATGCAGGACTGCCATATTTTGACGCAACTGGGACCACATGCGGGGCAACCAACGCTGTAAATTTGGTGTCTCTAATTTTCTTAGTTTTTCATTTCAGTTGGCCAAAATGACCCCCTCCCTACCCGAGCGAAGGGTATTCAACGGCCAACCGGGCGCGTGTTAAACCAAACCCGGTCCAACATTAACACCCAAAAACGCAACGATTTACTAGCAACTACGTTCGGAAGAATCACGTAAACTGTCCATTATATTAGCGGGGAGCATTACTCACATAGATAAGACAGTAGCATCAGCCTCATTCCTCGGATAAAAACCAGGAGAATGGATATAAGTTGGGTTAAAAAGTGATTTCAAAAACCCGTTCACACGTCGCACATACGTAAGCATACCTTCTGTACTCCAGGAAAGATGAGATTGATCCAGATAAGCGTGAGTGCTGTCGTTCTACAAAGGCTTTCTATCGGAAAGTTTCTATGATTGCCTCGTTCAATGAAACCTTAACAAAGTTGACAGAACGAGCTAATACCTCAGTGTTCTTGGAGAAAATATGCGTCACAGGCTTCAGTGAGCCTTCAATAAACCGCGGGACTAAACTTGTTTTTTCGGCAGGCAAACAAGAATTCAATGCGTAGATGAGTTTTAGCTAGTTTTTTTCTGGGTTCTTGAGAGGTTCAGTTAGCACTTTCTGGCAGCTAATACTCCTGTCTTATCTAGGTTGGGAAGAATCCTTGAAACGTGCCAACCCCCACTTCGACATTAATATTCAATGCAACAGTCACGAAATCCTGACGATCGAAGCACCCAACTAAACCTTTAGCGGTAATCGTCCAACAATGACCAGCAAAACAGCGCTAGACACTTCGGACATGCCCAACGTGAGTATAGCATTGCAGCCTGAAGTCCGCCTTACAGCTGCCTGCCGGGGTTCTCCGTGGCAGCCTTTAATAGTCGCGCACGTCAACTTACACAAGTAATTCTTGAATCAAACGCGTCCAACAGCGTCTTAAGCCACATGGCATCGACTACAAGTCGGTTACCGAAACCCAGTGTTGTTCATCGAAGCCCAACAAAATATTTTTTCCCCGGCGACAACATCTCGCACCGAGCGCACCGGGACATTGAGATCCACAGAACGGCAATCTCGGATTTAAGGACCGTTATCTTTATAGCACATAAATCTGAAACCTGCATTTTTTAAGAGAGGAAAAATCCATAATATATGGATGCAATGCTGTAAATGCCAAAACATCGGAAGGTGTATCATTGAGACAGAGACAAAGAATAACAAGCACACTAACAGGAAGCTTCTTCTTACCCGGAGAATATGAGAGTTTCATAAGTATTTAATAAAGTAAATCAAAATGAGGTGAGACATTAAATTAGGCGGACCCATGGTGCCTGAGGTCAATCCTCCTCCAGAATCGTCAAGTGAAACAAATTACGCAAAAAGTTTTGGGCCTGTGTTTGCAATCTTAGGAGCCAGAGCAGCGCTGGGCCGGGGCTACAGTTTCTGTAAAATCGAGAGCCATTGGCCTCTGCAGGTAACGACAGACGCCGGGCGCGCGAGAACGACCGTTGTGAAGTAATCCTTCGAGCGTTTCAAAATCAATTTGTATCGTTCAAAGGTTAGACTGGGATGTACACTTCAGCCGTGTGATTTTGAGGTTGGTTGACCTCTGAACAGCTTAAAGGTTACAACACGGAAATGAAAATTTTGCGTCTTTTCTTTTCCAGCTCCCCCACCAGATTCCAGCACGATTTTACAGTACTGCCAATGCAATTAGTTCCTATTGGCAATCTAAAACTCGTGTAGGTGATGTGTTCTCTTCGGCTTCCTTCTAAACGGACGAATTGAAACTTTAAAGCGTTCAAAGACGCGTCTTTCAGATGCGTCATCGTTCTCGTCCGGCCGTCGGCCACCTCCTGGTGTTAACCGGGGAGGGAGACCGAGGCAGTGCTGCCGGCGGAGACTGCAGCGCTGGAAGTTGGATTTTGTTTCTTGGGCTTGCAAGCGCGCATGTTTATCACTGCCTGATCCCTTTTTTCGCTAATCAGTCCTGAACGTAGCTCAGCATTCCCAGACTCGTGGGATGGCGATGTCAACTCCAAACGTTGATCCCGTTTCGATCCACAGTCGACGTTCGCGGAGTCCTCAATGCCTATCGCCGTAGAGCAAAGAAACGAAAAGAAAAATTCGGCGAAAACCCTGAATGCCATCAGTTAACAAAACAAACAAGCAAACAAACAAACAAAAAACTGACACAGTATGAGAGGAACATCAGAAAATAATGCAAAAGTTGTCTTCTGTGCAGTTATTTAGCACCTGACGCCTTCAGCTTCTTCGGTTAAAAATACGAACAGAACTGGATCTTCCCGTTGCTATTTGGCTACTGATGAGGTTGAAGCGAGTAAAAAGATTAAAGAAGCGAAGAGCAACTCGTGCAATGATTTTTTCGTGGGGGTCTTTGTTAACTCTGTGGCCCCTGCCCCCAACCGCACCTACCCCCGACCCTACCAAGACTAGCTGAAAGAGATGCGGTAACCCGGGTGTTTTTTTAATCCTGTCATGGGCGCCCTGACTTTATAGACTTGTGCGGAAGTACGCAGGGATTCCAGCTGTGCTATTACAACAACGTCACACCAACGCCAAAGAAGCTCATACGTAAAACAATGCAATCACCATTGCTGCCGAATGTGTTTTACAGAATCTGTGTTGTCGCCACAGATTTGAAATTTTTCGGCCAGGGTGATAGAGGACCTCCAAATGTACGATCATCGTCAGTGCCGTCCGGAGGTGGTTAGGGTGGCTGAGCGTGGGTGAGCTCATTGAGCACCGAGTACGCATGCAGTATCATCACTAGAACCAGCTCAAGTAGTACTGCTGTTACAATCAAACTGGATTGGGCATGGCGTCGACAAGACCGGCGCTTCGTTTGCCACGCGTTCGAACTGAAGCAAGATCGGGAGATTCTGTTCGGAGGCACAATAGCTTGGAGAAGTGCACCCCAAAAGTACAGCAGCCTCGCAATGCGTGTTCAATGAAGCGAACGGGAAAAGTCATTTCAAACATAAAAGAAGTTGCATACGCGTAGTTACGGAGTGGCTGAGGACCACTGCCTTAGATGTGTGGAGGAGCTCTTGTGTCTTGTTTTAACTGAATTGCGTATATTTTGTCGATTACATTTTGATTTGTCAAGGATGTGCGTGTAAAATGGTTGTGATAGACACGTGTATTCTGAACAGCCCATTTTTGTAACTACGTATATGGATGATGAGTGAACTACCTAGGCTTCCACTGACATATTATACGCATATTTCACATTTCGGTACGCAAAAGGGCATCCCTTCTGTTACACTAAAGTGGCATGCTTCTAAGATGCTGATGCAAACTGCGGCTTCAATAAGTGATTGCTGCGGATAAGCACATTTAACCCTCAAAATACGTCATGAGTGTTGATATATATATATATATATATATATATATATATATGTATATATATATATATATATATGTATATGTGTATATATATATACACATATACATATGCATATATATATATACACATATACATATACATATACATATACACATATATATATATATACATATATATATATAATATATATATATATATATATATCCCTTCTTACATATATATATACATATATATATATATATATATACATATATATATATATATATATATATATATATATATATATATATATATATATATATATATATATATATCAACACTTATGCAGCCAAATATTGTGGACGAAAGTTTTCACACCTGTCCCTTTTTGGGGACTTCACCTGAGGACTGAGCGTGATATAGCTCTCTTCCCTCCATTGCTGTCCATCAGAACCTGATTTTTGCTCCATGCGTAACGGGATTTATCGACGCCCTGGCACGTAAAATGCAGCACAGTGACAATATCTTAGCATGGCATTTATAGAGCAATGCGAAGCCATTGTTTGGGAGGGATTGACGCGCCACATTGTCATGCAGCCAGCGCATACAATCCCACCAAGACGGCCGCACTGTGTGGGTGCGCAGCGGTCTTAAAAATGGCGACAAGAATAGCCATGCTTGCGTCACAGCATTCTCGGCAATATCACTCGAGACGGTGGCTTGTAAAAAGCACTTCGTGATTTCCGTCGTTCTGCATCGTCTGGGACTATACACTTGTCATAAAATGTGATATTGTCTGCTCTGCACAAAATAAATTAGGGAAAATATGTTGCTGGCCAATCATTTTAAGGCCTACAGCTTTGCTCTCATAGATGAGCGTGAGCGTCTAGTACTCTGTACCCAAGTATCACAGTAGTATAAAGAGCTTCTCCTCACCCTCAATGGTGCTCTGCGACACACTAAGCCGCTGAGGCTATGCGGCGGCGTCCGTCTCTCATCCTGGCACGAAGGGTGGGCACACGGGAATCCAACCCCGCACCTCCGGTCTACTGTTCACAGAGCATTCATGGTGCGAGTGCGCTTCTTGATAATGCGCTGCACCAATCTTAACGAATGTTTAGACCCACCTCACGAATACATAATCACCGAACGGACATGCCAATGATGGTACTACCGAGCATCATCTTACCTATGGGCTCATAGTCCCCAAACTTGCTCACTTTTCGTGACGACAATCAATAAATCATCGATTAGTGGCGCATCCAGGATTTCTTCCCCACGAAATATCCATTTCGTCTCCGATGATAAAAGACAGGCGACAGTTGTGCGTAGTTTATTTGCTTTTTCACACTGTGCAACAATGGACGAATTTGCCAATACGAGACTGCAGCTAGTTCGTGACACAAATAGTTGCGCCGGCGCGACTGGACTGAACCCAATTATTTTACTTACCAACATGTTCGCTGATGTTTTTGGTAAACCCCACCCGCAAACAAGCCAGCCACTAAACGAGCGTATAAATGTTGTACTATCACCCACGCGAGTACAGCTCGAGTAGGTCTACAAAGTTCACAGCCTGATACAAACGGTGACTGACAGGACCGTCTGTCCGGTACTTCGCGGACCAGTGACTGGCGGGGGGCACCGCGCGACACGGGTCCGCCAGTCTTGCCCTCCGAGCGACCTCTTGAGGGCAAGCCACGGTCACCATGCGACGCGGCCACACACGGCCGGCAGCTCCCCGTGCTCAGCTCTGGGGATGAGCGACCTGACCCCGTCCTCGAGCAGCCCTGATCAGCTGACCCTTCCCTCACTACGGCACTTCGCCGGCGGCGGGAGCTTCCCTGAAGGGAGGCCGGGTCCCGCAGCCGTCGCCGCGGCACGGCCGATCCTAGAGCAGGCCCCCAGCAATCTTGGCGCGCAGCCGCTGCTTCTTGGCCAGGTTCTCGCGGTGCTCGGCCTCCATGACGAGCCGCGCCAGCTCGGCCGGGCTGTAGCCCAGCACGGCGCGTAGATCGCAGATGAACTTGTACACGAACCGCTTGCCCGACACCTGGCGGCGGGACGGCAGAGGTCACTGTACCGGGAAGGCCGGCCAGCGCACGCCACGCAGGCGACGGTCACGGGCAGAGCAAGGGACGCTCTCCGTCCGCGAGCGCCCGTGATGGGTTCGGCAGGGATGCGCACTAGACCAACCAGGCGAAGGTTTAGGCACTGCAGCAAGGCGAAGGTTTCGGGGAATTTAAATTCTTAATAATGTTAACATCAGGCTATTGTAGCGCACGAGAGCAAAGCACCCAGCACACATAAGGCGACCCAACTAAGACCCACCCACGGTAAGTGCGATCCAGAAATGTAATACGTGTTTGTCACAGATCTGCCGCTCAACCGCCACAACCAATCGCTGCAGGGGAAGAACAGGCACTGCGTCGTCGCCCTGGACGCAGTGGACGTTACAGCAAGCTCCCCTCCATTCCGCTCCTAGAAAGCTGCTTCTGACTGAAGGGTTAGCACGACTAAAAGGCAAATAGCCTCCATGGCTGGGGAACTGACCAACGACAAATAACAAGGCAAATGCTGCCACTCAATATCGGCTTAGGTAAGGTGAGAGTCAGTTCGCTTTACGGTGTATTCCGGTGGCACATCTGGGGTCCAAAACTATCCCAGATCACGGGCGCAAAGCAAACTAGACGCCAGACCCATTACATTCCCGTGGAGCCCGTCGATAATTGAAGCCGCTGAAGCCGGTTCGCTCATCAGAGTCCGGCCAGGCGGGTCCCACCTTCTGCAGCATGTCGCTGTCGTAGTAGTAGCGCAGCGCCCGGCTCAGCTTCTCGTAGTTCATATTGGGCTTGTTCTTGCGCTGGCCCCAGAGGTACGCGACCATCTCGGGGTCATTGAACTTGAACTCGCCGTCGGTGCCGACCCAGTGGATGATCTCCCGGCGAGATTTGTCTGTCAACAGCTCCAACAGGAACTGCCACAGCTGGATGTGGCCCGCCACCGTGTCTGCCAGCCAGGAGCGCAGCTGCACTTCACACATCGCAGGCGAGGGGGCATCTTCTCGAGAACCAGGCATTCTGTGCTGATTGCAATGGTTTCGATCAATGGTCTAAGCCCACGGACGCCCTGTCAGTGGGCGGCAGCTGACTGTGAACCGGCGAGCACCATCAGCTCTGTGACGGACGCGTGTGACGGCTGACGTCCGCCACGAGAGCCTGCCGACATCACCTGGAGACATCACAGAGACATCGCCTGGCTCGCGGACGCAGCGCCGCAAAACTCCACATGGGCGCTTCACGCGGGTCCAATACACAGCAGCGGCACTCGGTGATCAAAACAATGCCGAGATGTATTCCCGGGCATGTGCAAACGGCGGCGAAAGGCGTTGCAATTGGATCACTATGCAGTCATCTGGGTCACTATGCAGTCATCCAAACTATATGAGATGTTAGGTCGACATTTGACTTTTCCATTTGAGTTGATTTCACGGCGACATGCTTTTGGTATAAGACAAGGGGGTTGAGTCGGGTTAGCTACTTACTGTTTGCGAAGTCCGGTCCGTCAAGGTTAAACTTCGCTTTAATCTTTTTTGGTTTCACGGTTGTGACAACCTCTTCTCGCTGAACAATAGCTGTTGAAAAATAAGATGCCAACATTATCACAACGGACTCTGAAAACGGCATGCTTAAAGAAATAGATGGACACAGACTGCCATTCTTACCACTTGTTTATCTACACAGAAATCACAGCTTTAAATCACCACGTTCCAACTCAATTATCTGACAGCCGAGCTCCACATCTGCAGGCGAGTCTTCGTCGCCTTACAAAACACACACAAACAGCCGGCCCCGAGTGCCGCGCCAGCAGCGCCACCCCGTGCTAGGACGGCGTGCAGCACTCACCGACAAACTTGCACTTCCTGAGCAGCTCCAGATGTGTCCAGAAGAGGTCGTTCGGGTCGGTGGGCACCAGCTCAGTGAACCTGCCCTTCTCTATCGCGCACAGGTCCACGCCTGCAACATGAGCGACGGCGCGCGCTGTGACCGCGCCGCACTACACAGCCAACACGCATGAGAGTTCACTGTCTGCTGCTCCAACTAGCCAAGCCACATGTTCCAAGTGCTGCATATGCACCAAGCGATGACAACAGGAGACCAAGCCCCCTGTCAGCAGTGCCCGTGAATTGCAGCTATGCCAAGATCGGCCACACGCATTTAACCCAATGCTTTTTAAGCTCTGAGATGAGCGACAGAGGCGCCCAAGAATGTATGCGACAAGAGAAAAATATACGTGCTGGCCACAAGACTTCATCATAAGAATCACAAGATTTTTGTCCCACGCTCCCGACAGTTCAACGGTTCATATCTTCTGAGCCAGTATCCCAAAATTAAAAGATAACCAAGGCCTATTTTCGTTGAGTGCTTTGGACGACTACTACCCACCAGGGATACCGCACCCAAACGGCAGGCGCAGTGACAGGCCAAAACAATCCACACGTGCACAAGGATACACGTGGATTACATTGGCTAGTTGCAAGCACATCATGCAACGGATTGCCATCCCTCGGCCCTACCAGGGGGGGGGGGGGGAGAGAGTCCGTGAGCCTCAGACCCAAGTTCGCCACGAGACTCCGAAGCCAGATACCAGATGGCAATGCAGATACTGGATGACGATACACATACTCCACGACGATACAGACACTAGATGAAGATACATATACTCGTTGACGATACAGATACTAGATGACGATAGATACTCGATCACGATACAGATACTAGATAGCTATACTGATAATAGATGGCGATACAGATACTAGATGACGATACAAATGCTAGATGATGACACAGATACTAGATGACAATGCAGATACTACAGGTGGGCAGCCTACCGGTGAGCGTGTCGAACTCCTGACGGTGGATCTCCGCCAGCGGGAACTGCTCCAGCGCCCAGCCGAGCCAGTGGCGCACGTGCTCCTGGTCCCAGCACATGGGGTCTGCGGCCGGACGCCCACCCCGGTCAGCACGGACGCAAATACTCTTCGGAGGCTCGGTGCGTCCGTATGCACGTGGCAACAGCACAAAAGCGGGCGGGACACGTGGAGTAAGCGGCGCGCCCTTGGCACACTCAACGGCACGGTTAGTGAACAACTGCGACCTGGTTGGAATCGCTCTTAAGCGTCAGAACACTGCATAACACCCACCACATGCTGACTGGGTCGCATCCGAGCTTTGTGCACCTTAGATCACCCATCACTCGCATGAATTACTCGACACACACAAACAATGGGAGCGTCCAGCCATTAAGGAGTGAAAAAGTGAAAAAGACTTTGTGCAAATAGTATGAATAAGTATAGCCAGTTAAGCCCAGCCCCAATATGGACCATCCATTTCAACACACCTCAGCGAATAAGAGCCGACACATCTCCATCACGGTCGACCGCTTGAAAAACATTGTAGCTACAGTCTGCCAGCTGCTGGGTGATTATATAGCCTTGACAATAAAACCATGATAATACAACCTCAGCGGCTGGCAGTCTCGCGAAGTGCCGCACGACAGCCACATACTCGCCACAGCCACCGCCTGAGCGCGCCATGGACCGCGTATCCACAGCCGCTGGCCGCGCGCGCCGCCAGCGTCTCACCTGTAGGGATGTTGAAGGTGGCCTGCAGCTCCTTGAACTTGGGCGAGAGCGCCCAGCGCGTCACCTGACGCGTCTCCTGCTGGGGCGGCGTCTTGGGCGCGCTGGGCGGCCAGCGCTGTTTGGCTGGCGGCGGCGAAGCCGGCGCGCCCTCGGCCGCCGGCGCCAGTTGCTCTGCGGGCGGCCGGGGCCAAGTAAGCGGCACCGGGGCCGGGTGAGCGGCGCCGGGGCCGGGTGAGTGACGCCGGGGCCGGGTGAGCGACGCCGGGGCCAGCCGGGACGGGCAAGCTCGCGGCGGCGACAGAGCAGCGTCAGAGCAGGCCAACAGACCGCACACGCAGGCAGAACGAGCCACGCCAGTGAGATGCAACCCGGCTGCAGCACACGCCATGTGTAACCTGCGGCTTCTGGTGGGAGGCGGCCGTGCAGCTGCCCGATGTCTGATGTTGATAAAAGCGCGCAAGGTCATGTGGTATCGTTTCTAATACCTCCGTGACTGCGTATCATATGTGTTTTGAAGTGTGAAGTGTGCAAAACTAATAAAAAACTGGCTCTTAAAAAGACTTGCAGCTTCTACTGCAGAGAACAGGCTGCACACGATTGATAATCGTGGACTTGATACGCATGGTAGCGTGCTACTGCATGATACACATGACACCGCATGCATACAATAACATACCGCCGCGAAGCGCTCCCTGCAATGAGCCCTCGACGAGGGGTGGCAGCCCACCCTCGTCCACGGCGACTCACCCTGCACCTCCTGCACCTCGACGTCCTCATCCAGGACGCTTTCGAGTGGGTCTCGCTCGTCACCGAGCTCGTCCGGCTCGTCCTCTGGCGTGGGCGAGGCCGGCGCCGGCCGCTTGAGGCCGCGCACCGGCCGCCGCTGGCGCGCCATGTACTCCTCGCTCGGCTTCAGCACGTCGATGATGTTGATCATGCGGCGGCCGTGGCCGATCGACAGCTCAACGTTGACCTGGACCACGCCCTCGCCCTCGATACACTGCTCGGCCAGCGTGTGCTCCGGCTCGAGCTGGCGGAAACCGGCGGTGACGTCATATACACTGCTCGGCCAGCGTGTGCTCCAGCTCGAGCTGGTGGCAGCCCTGGGTGACGTCATATACACTGCTCGGCCAGCGTGTGCTCCGGCTCGAGCTAGTGGCAGCCCTGGGTGACGTCATATACACTGCTCGGCCAGCGTGTGCTCCGGCTCGAGCTGGTGGCAGCCCTGGGTGACGTCATATACACTGCAAGGCCAGCGTGTGCTTCGGCTCGAGCTGGCGGCAACCAGCGGTGACGTCATATACACTGCTCGGCCAGTGTGTGCTCCGGCTCGAGCTGGCGGCAGCCCGGGGTGACGTCAAAAACGCGTCACGGGGCTACTGCAGAGGGGCTGTCACCCCGCTGATGCCCCCCCCCCCCCCTCCTCCGGCCAAAGGGACACAGGGCGGTGATGTCAGTTACAGGCGGACAGGCCAGACCTGCACTGTTCCCCGCAGGATGTTGTCCCACAGCAAGACACCTAATAGCCAAGCCATTCCCAGCAGACCACCTCAGCCACCTCCGGCCCGCGTCGCACCCGGCCGCGGCCGCATCTCACCTGCTGCACGCCCTGCAGCCAGTACTCGTAGCCGGCCAGCTCCATGCTCATGCGCTGCTCGAGCAGCCCGCGCAGCGAGGCGAGCGGCTCCTGCAGGTCGATGTGCTCCGTCAGCTGCATGGTGCCCTCACCCTCGCTGGACTGCCTGCCGGGCGCCGGTCAGGCCGGGTCAGGCCCGGCTAGCTGGCGGCGCTGGGGCTTTACGACGCGATCAGGCTATGTGGCGTCGCCTTTCTCATCCGTGCACCGCGGGCGAGCGAACCCCTCATCTTTGGTTTCCGAGACATGCAGCCCAACAACCGGACTACCGGCACCCCAGTTAGTTGCCAGCTGGAATGGATACTAATGAACACAAACGTGAAAAACTATTCATAATCCCGGTTCTGTGTTAACAATTACCACTACAAAACAGCATATATCCATCCAGTTATCATGACAGATGTACTGAGGCTCTGTTCAGGAGCTGGCCAAAGAGGCAGGTAATGAAGATGGTCACAACAACCAGCGGATGGACGCAATCTCGCGGAAAATGCATTTTTAAAGATAATGCATAACTGCCGCAACAAATGATGTCAGAAGACTGCAAGCAGCCATTCACAATTAACAAAGATTGCCTCCACATTGACCTATCTGTGGATAACTATAGCAACAGACCCCCTGCTGACCAGCACCACAACTCCAGCACTTGCCCAATGCAAGGCAGCTTGGCAGCCTGGCCATATAAAGCAGTATGCTCACCTGCGCCGCTCGTGCGGGTCCAGCACCATGTCCTCGTCTCGCAGTGAGTCAGCCACATAGCTGATGTTGGGCGGCGAGTAGTCGGCGTCCACATCAGAGCCGTCCAGCTCGTCCACGCTGTCCACCTCGTCATTGGAGAACTCGGCCGACGAGCCGTACTCCTCGCCACTGAGATCGGAGCTGTCTGACATCTGGGCAGAAGGGTCAGCAGTGTCAGCAGATGGTCTCACACTGCACAGCACTGGCCAGCAACATGTACAGTGTAGGCCCTAATGCACAATGTAGTCATGCATGGTGGCATGCTTGTGCACATGCATGATCCCAGGCAACTAATGTGCAAGTGAGGATTCACACCTGATGTGTTAAGTTGACAGGATATAATTTTTCAGCGAAGTACGTCAATAATGGATACCACACCTGATTCAAGTCATGCCGTTCTTTTTGCTGGGAGTTTTTACCCGCTCTACAATAATTAAGTAAAGTTTGGTTTTAGCATGGGCCCATGAGAGGTGAAATCATGGTAACAACACAACTTAAACAGCATTTTAGTCTTATGGTATTACTGCCAAAAATTGAAGGCAAAAAGGGCAGTAGATGGGAATTGTTATTGTTCACAACCAAATGTTTTGAAATAAAAATCTTGTGGTTGCTTGTTAAAGGAGGCCTTTGACCAGAACACTTGGCTTTCATTTTGCAAGAGTAATTGGGTGAGCCCTGTTCTAGGCCAATCTACCTAGGGTATCACCCAGCTTTTTCTTGGACTTGGGTCAATTATCCATCTTAAGGACATGAAACCTTGTTTTATGACTTTTCTGGGTTGCCTTTCTCATGCTTTGCCTTTTATGAGAAAGTTGGATTAGTCTTTTAACTGGGAGGTCTTAATCTGCATGTTCATGAAGCGTACCCCTCAAAAAGCCTATGTTTAAGATGAGCCTAAGTTTGTTCTTGTTCAAGATACACTACACCTTGGCAAATGCACTTGCATAAATCACAAATGGCAATGCATACCTGATAGGTGAGTACACATGCCTCTGAGTATAGATGGTTTAGGTTTTTTCCAGGACTGGAACCAAGCAAGGGCATGACATCATGAGGCCTATCACAACCAAACCATTTCTAAGCCCTTGCTCTAATACACAATATACCTCTACAGCTCTACATTCCCATGTTCATAAGTTGATGTGGCTCTATTGGCATACACAAAGTAAAGATGCCTTCCTTTACAATGTAACCTTATATTCCCAGCTGGCTTTGTCAGGCAGGGTAGCATGCTAGACTGATTAGAGGGAGTGGACCTGTCAAAATATTTTCTCACTTTCCTTCCCCTGGACCCTGGACAAAACTTCTTCTAGAACCTAGATGCAGTTTGCTGAGATGAGCCCTGCACATCTAACAAAAAATTATTTGCAGCAACTGGCTGAAGAGTCCACCAGTGTCCATTCTAATATTTTTGTAGCAACCAATTATAAAAAATGAGCTATCATATTCAAAGTATCACCATGGTTCCTGACCTCCAATTTAGGCCCAGTTAGCCCTAAAGCTAACACAATTACTGATATTTCAAAACAAATCTTCTTGTTAAAGCAAAATGAACAACTCAGGAGGGTATGCTGTCTATTACATATGTAACACAAACAACAAGGGTCTGGTATGCCCAATTTACTACTATGTGTATGTCAATAAAAAATGGGCATCATGGGCAACTTAATTCCTATTCCTAACAGTGATCACAACTTAGGTAAGTGTTTAGAAGAGAGGGGTATGCAGAGGGCCCAGCAATTTTACCCCAAACCTGCAGTTATTATTAGCTGCAGTAGGCAGACAGCCCACTAATTCATCAATTACAAGCTTTATTTTACATCTACAATTTAGGAGATCATAATTAACTCTAAAAATTGAGCAATAATGACCTGGAAGTCAAGCTTTCATTGTTATCCTACATGTTTTGCAAATTTGTTTACCATATTCCAAACAAAACTGGGCCCCAAACTAACAATAAGGTGCGGGGGGAGGGGAACTAACTCCAGGGATGGAGTTCCAACAAAAAATCCCACTGGAAGGCAGACATATCCTGGTCACCGGGGAATACATCACACATACAACGCATGCACCGCGGGAACAAGGGACAACTGACAAACAAAAGGCGGAAGCCCGGGGAAAACGTAACGATCAGCGACTCCCCAGTCGCAGAGAAGGGTAAGTTCCAAAGGCAATGCCTTAAATCTTCCGTCCTCATCATCATCATGCAAGTGTAGGACCAACCTTGCGCCGAAAATACCTTGGAAGACCCTGCGTATAGCCCGCCCCAACGCGTGCACACACAGCACGGTGCGATTCCGCCCAACCCCACCAATTCCATCCCCATACTTCTAAGCAAGGCTACTAGAGTAAAAGACTGCGCAGACGTGACGTCACCATAGGACTACGGTTTGGTAGCCCGTAGTATGGTTCTTAGTTGATACTACAGAAAGGTAGATACAAAATAGTAATAGAACTGAAAACAGATTTCACGAAGGACATAGGTATTGCGACTAGAAATTGTAGATTTTGCATTTTGAACCTTCTTAAAAGATACCATTTCTAGGATCTGCTTCCGAAATAAATCCTACTAAACCACATTTTGTAGTTTCAGTATCTGCGATATATTCGTGGTGGTCAACGTTCCTGAATGCTTATGTTTGATGCCGTTTATTAAAATGAATATTGGTATGTAAATAAACAAATATTTTGTGTAATGTTCGCGTTGGAGTTATAAATTGGTAATGACTGTCCATTTAACTTCATATTTCAGGACCTATATAGAGTGAAATGTGAAAATGAGGTAATATGGGGAGCACAGGTGCCAAGAATTTCGCTGTCGCTGTGCTGAGATCTTCCTAGGCGGGAAGATCGTGGAAGAACTTAGGAGTTCGAAGTGACCGCCGCTCGGCGGATCCCTATCAGAAGGGAAGGAGAGTTGGCGCCCACCAACAACCTCATACTCACGTTCAGTCGCCCTGACTTACCGTCCGAGACACGTGTGGGATGCGTATGTGTGAAAGTTCGTCAGTTTGTGCGCAACCCCGTACGGTGCTATCAGTGCCAGCCATTTGGTCACATCAAACCCAACTGTCGGAACCGCGCAGCGTGTGGCAAATGTGCGTCCCTCGATCACATGAAGGAAGTCTGCACTTCTCACAAGCCCCACTGTGTCAAATGCGGCAAGGACCAGGATCCGCATACGTTGTATGACCGTGCATGCCCAACCTACGCCAAGGAGAACGAAATCATATGAATTAAACCTTCTAAAAACTCATCTGTCCGCGAACTCGAGAACTTCATGGTGAAACTCACCCAAAAACATCCATGATAAAAATATTATGCATCGAAAATGAAAGCTTTGTTACCCCACACTAATATGATCGGGGAAATGACGGCTGTTCATTTTCGTAACTTCCGAGGTCATTTGGCCTATCAGTTGTACCTTCAGCACGCGCGCTGGACTCGCAGTCAGCAGCCCAAGCTCCGTCCCCACCAACCGAGCAGTCCGTGGCCGCCGTGCTGCTGGCCTCCTCGGCACTGGTTGGATAGCCAACGAATGACGGTTGGATGACAGTTCAGTGTAGAAGCAGTGTCCGCGCGCCTCCGGGCATTCCTTCTTCTGAGACTCCACCGGTCTCCTCATCGCAAACACCCCTCGCCAGTGCCTGTGAGCGTGTGGCAGAGACAATGGAGCATCAGGAAGCTGACAGGCGCGCCCGCGAGGCCAAGCGGGCGCGTCTGGTTGAGCAAGAGAAGACGAAGGTGATAACCGGCTGTCGGGAGCGGACCAGGGGCTCGCTCCCGCGAGGGAAGCCGGTCCACCGTCCAGACGACGCGTGGAGGCCCCTGGTGGAACATCCAGGGTTTGAAGGCAGCTGATGAGTCCTTCGGCGCCGCCATCTAGGTTCACGGTTTCACCGGCGCCGTCCCCTTCTACAGTGGGGCGCCCGGAAAAGTGTGGCCCTCCCTGGCCCATTTCGCCCCCAGACGGCAGCCCACGTATTCGGCCCAGAACCCAGCTGGCGTCGTTGGGATCAGACCCCGGTGGGTTCTTGAAACCCATAGTTAAAGCGTCTGAGTCTGCTGCGGCCAGCCCAGCCGAGTACTTTTAAAGCAAGTCTGTTTTACACTTACAACCCAAACTCATGCCCCTACCCGCTCCCCCTGTGGGCGTCGACACTGCGGAGTGATAGGAAGCTAAGGACCATCCTCACTCTTTATCTCCATGACGAATTTTTACAGTGGAACGGCAGGGGCGTACGAACAAGCTACCAGGATCTCCATGTATGCATTAACGAGCGGCGTCCGGTGGTGGTATGTCTCAAGGAGACAAAACTAGCACCTGACAGCGTTTTTTTTTTGTCTGTCGGGTTAAGCTGTTTGGCGGCGAGATTTACCAGCTGACCCTGCTGCACATGGTGGCGTTCTTATGGCTGTGCACCACAGCGTGTCTGCTCAAAGGCTGAATATAAACACGGAGCTTCAAGCTGTCGCGGTCAAAGTGTTTTTAAACTGCTGTACGATCACCAGATACTCAATCTTTTCGCCTCCTTGGACAGGGTTTCCGTCCGCTCATCTAAGACACCTGGCGGCTCAGCTTCCGCTGTCTATCCCTATATTAGGTGATTTTGACGCTCACCACTCAGCGTGGGGATATGTCCGGGCAAACGCTCGCCGGAAGCGCTGAGAAGCCCCCTTACATGAAGAATCGCTGTGCCCCTTAAACACGGGCATTCGAACCCGTTTTACGCTCCCATCGGGACAGGCATCGACAATCGACTTGAGTCTTTTGAGTCCACAACTGATCAACCATTTTGGCTGGTGGGTGTCAGACGATCCCATCGGAAGTGACCACTTTCCCATCTAGATCAAGTACCGGGCTGACGTTCTCCTCTGTTCTGGACCACAGCGCTGGAATTTCAGAAAACAAGTTTCAAGCGATGATCGAGCATTTTCTTTCCAAGCAAGTAGTGAGTGAACCCCCGTCAGTAGAGGATTTGACTTCGTTGATTTTGCGGTCTGCGGAAGGGCGTTTATGGCGAACGTCGGGCTGTCCTTGCCGACCTCCCGTCCCATGGTGGACACAGCAGTGTCGGGACGCCGTCTGTGCCCGTAAAAGGGCCGTTAAGAAGCTTGACCGTTAGGGCACGACGTAGAGTCTAATTACATTCCAATGAGCACGAGCGGCTGCCAGACACACCATTCTAGAGGCTAAGCGGGCATCGTGGCGAGCTTACGTCGGCCAACTTGACTGCCAAACACCTGCACCCAATGTATGGGCGCGGATCAAACGCATCGCTGGACAGCACTCGTCTGTACCACACCCTGTGCTCCGCATCAACGGACATGACATTATAGACACCCAGCTGACGTAGCAAATGGAATCGCCCGCGCATTCTCCGGAAGGTGCGGCAACAGCAATGCTATCCCACAGTTTATACGTCTCCGGACCCGCTGTGAGGCGTCCCCAGTCAACTTCAGCACGCCAGAACAGGCATCGTACAACCGGCCGTTTACAATGGCAGAACTAATTTCCGCGATCGGATCGCTACGCAACGTGACAGAGGGTCCGGATCTAGTTCACAACGCCATGCTTAAGCAACTCCCCACTTCAGCAGTTGAGGCCCTCTCAGCAGCTTACAACAAACTGGGCGACTGGAGGTTTTCCGGAGTCTTGGCGTGGGTTGTACATTGTCCATATGATTAAGCCTGGCAAGAGTGGGGCTGACCCTGCCAATTATCGTCCTATCTCACTGACACCACGCATTTGTGAGTTGATGGAACGTATGGTAAATGTACATTCGTCCTGGTTTTCAGAGCGGTGCAACGTTTTTACGGCTGCTCAATGTGGATTCGGGAAACATCGCACTACAGTTGACCATCTTATAGCTCTCGACACCAACAGCTGTACCAGTTTAAGGGAAAAACAAAGTGTTGGCGCTGCTTTTTATGTCGAAAAGCAAATGATACGACATGGCGCTACGGCATCCTGCCAAGCTCTTTCATTATGGCATTTGGGGCGCCATGGGCACATTCTTAGCGAACTTTGTGACTGATCGTTTTTTCAGAGTTCGTGTTGGCTCACACTTGTCGGATGCGTGCTGTGATGTGATGTATGGAGGCGTGTTATGTATGTATAGCACAGTGCATGTGGTGCGGTCCAGGACGGAGTCAGCGGCCGTCGCGGAGCCTACGCCAGCCCGTCCCCACTGGAACCTGACGCCGGGGAGGCGACGGGCGTGGGGACGCCCGGCGCGGCGGCGCCATGCCACTCCCGGGGACAGTGGCGAGAGAGAGCTGGGGCGGGGCGGTGCGCTGCGAACTGTCGAGCGGTGGGGACATTTTCGTTCTTGTGTTGGCGAGCTGAGACGGGAAAGACAGTGGGTAGAGAGACAGCGATTGTGTGAAGAGACGTAATTGTGTGTGCAAAGACAGTGAATACGAACATTTGAACATCGAACGGCGTTTACTACGGCAGAGACAAGAGCTGAGACTGGATAGTGGACATTTGTAACCTCTATACCTCAAGCTATTTAGGGCACGAATAATCATGGCCGGTTTAATTTCGACGTGGAATTAATTCCGGAGTTCGACGGCACGGATGACGTTGTGGACTGGCTGGAGAAGGTCGAGCTAGTGTGCGGACTGCAGGATCCGGCGGCGAACCAGACGCTGGTAATACCTCTGCGGCTGAAAGGCGGTGCCTCGGCCGTGTATCGCCAGCTGGGTGACGCGGAAAGGAAGGATGCGACAAAAGTCAAGACGGCTTTGAAGCGAGCTTTTGCCGTGGATAAATATGCGGCATACGAGGAGTTCAGCGCACGGCGACTACGCGCTGGAGAATCGGTCGATGTTTATCTGGCCGACCTGCAGCGGCTCGCCAGCCTGTTCGGGGGGGGGGGGGGAGGGCTGAATCGACGACGGCATGGAGTGTGCCTTCGTGACGGGTCTGCCGGAGGCCGCAAAACAAATGTTGCGTGCCGGGGTCCGAATGGAGTCGCTGAAGCTGTCGGAGGTGGTGGACAGAGCCCGGGCTATTCTGCGAGAGGAAAGCGGCGTTCCCGAGGTGGTCGCTGCGGTGGCCAGACGGGAGCCCAGCGGCCGGGCCCTGGCCAGGACTTCGGCGGCGGCAGGAGGGAGCGCGGGCCGTGCTTCACGTGCGGCCGGCTAGGTCACATCGCCCGGGAGTGCTCGGGGCGTGGAGGCGGCGGCCCGCGCCAGGTTGGGTGTTTCCGGTGTACAAAAGTCGGCGATATTGCGGCTCGGTGCCCGGAAAACGAGCA